CTGCAACAGACAAGGCTTATAAATGTTTTTTTTTTTTTTTTTTTTTTTTTTTTAAATAAAAAATTTTTTTTTTTTTTTTTTTTTTTGTTTTAAATTAAAACTTGTGTAACATTTGTTATCATTCTTACTTTTATCATGTTAATGGAGGAAGAAAAAGTAGTATCGGCCAAAAAATATCGGCTGCACGTATCGGCGTATCGGTTAGACTGATTTTTTAAAAAAATCGGTATCCGTCTTCAAAAATCTGTATCAGTCTATCTCTATTAAGATCTGCTGAGAACACAGCCTAAAATGTGCTGAGATGATGCCCCGACAATGAGGAATATTCAATTATATTCAGTTGATTTATACAGCATTATGTCACAAACAAACGTCATCTCAGGGCACTGTTCGCACAAAAAAAAAATCTAAAGAAGCCAGCAGATTGTGTTGCATCTTCACAGGAATATAATTTGTAACTGAACATTCAAAAGTTTCGCACATATCGCCGATATAAAATAGCTGATAATGTAAAATTAATGTGTTGTGAAGAAGCCAGACTATTTGGTATGTACACACTCTTAACCCCTTCTATTACATAAAAAATAAAATCCACAAAAGGTTAAATATTCAGATAAAACAAATAAACCAAGAAATGTAAAACACACATAACTGAGGGGAATAGTGAACTGTACCTATTCAACTAAAGAAGTTGTGAATATATATTTAAATTTACTTGGTTGAGGGAAAAAAAATACACAAACCATAAACAAAGGGTAATTTGCAAGCCTGCCTGGTTTCATTTTTGTTCCATGCAGCAGTGTTGTTTTCGTTAACGATGACAAAATATTTTCGTTGACGCCCCCTTTTGCATGACAATAATGAGACAGTAACGAAATAAACATAGCTCTTTGATGACTAAGACGTGACGAACTGTGTGTGTTTTTGTTGACGAGATGAGATTGGACGAAAATGCTAAGTCGTTGGTCTGTCAATCGTTTAGAATACAGAGCGGAGGGAGGGACAGCAGCAGTGTTACACACGCGCACACACAGCAGCACAGAACATTTCCTCCCGTTCTCTCACAGCCTGTGCCGCTTCGCAAAAAAAAAAAGTCCGTCCATCACCTGTAGCTTAACCAGGGAGTAACATCTCCACCATTTTTAAAAGCTGTCGCTGGTCCATTCTGAGCTCAGAAGCTGTTTGTTTACGTTCATGACAAAATAAACTCTTCTGTGTTTCTTTTTGTTTGTTTTTTTTTTGCGGGGGGAGTTAGCAGCTGTGCATGTCAGTGCTTCTGTTCTGAATAAAAGCCTGGTGCATGTAAACACTCGTTTGCACAAGTTTAATAGTCTACTAAGTTTAGGACTGCATGATGTCCATTTTTATAAATAAGATGCATCTTCATCGTCCTGGCTGACAAGTTTGAGTTGAACATGCGTGTTCCCCTTTATTGCTTGTAACATTGGGCATGTGTATTTTGTATGTTCATTGCACTTTAGCAAATTCTGAGAAATAAAGCCACAAAGTGAGAATGATTTTGTTTTGGGCATTTTTAGAGTAGCACAAATTCACAAACGTTAACACAAATTACTCAAATTAATTTGTAAAGACTAATATGTTGTTTTTTTAAAGACTAAAACCACATTTTTTTAAGTTTTCGCCAACTAAAACTGGACTAAAACCATTAAATATAAAAACTAAGAAGTATTTTTGTTAAAAAGACTAAGACTAAAATTTAAATGGCAGTCAAAAACAACACTGCCATGCAGCTGAGTAGAGTCAAGAGATCTAAGGAAGCTTCATCACATCAGCAAAATGTCAGTCCTACAACTATAGGACAAATGATGTGTTCACATGAACACACACCACTTACAACCGGGCACAGAGCGGTGTTCAAACTAGTTTCACCAACATTTAAAGCAGCGATTAGGCCTGATGCACCTCTCAGTTCCATCAACGAGAGCTGTCCACGCTCACTTCAACCATATGACCAGTACAAACTGACCAGTACAAACGRCATGGCTGTTTGGATCCCAGGCTTATTATAGTGACTAAAAATTAATGAATGAATTCCAGGTTTTTTTATTTAGAATAAATGTATTTCCCTTCATTTAGATGGAAAAACTCCATGTCAACAGTTCTATACGGGTCAAGAAGTTTCAACAGAACATAAACCAAAGGCATCTTCATCCACAAATATAAAGCCTTAAAATTTAGTAAGATTTTCTAAGATTATGAGACATGTTGAAAAAAAAAGAAAAAGAAGAAAAAAACTTACTGATCTGAAATCTCCATCAACATCAGAGTCCTCACAGATGTCTTCGTGAGGCACATTTCTCCTCTTCAGGAGGTGCTCGTCTCTTTTGTTCTGTGATATGAGAAGCAGAGATATTACTTTATACAGATTTCTGCATCTCCTTAAGGTGCAGATCATGTTCAGCTGGAAAGCTAACAAACGGCTCAAAGCAGCTTAAACTGATTAAGTCTTTAAAGCTGATGATACAATGACACCAGTTTAATTACCTTTCTGAGCTCTACGACCACTTCAGTCCTCTGTCTTCTCATAGTCTGTGGGAAACAAACGTCACACAGTCAGGAACAATTAAAATAAAGGCAGAAACAAAGACAAAATCAAATATGAGCATTATCTACTTGATTGAATCACACCTAAAATGTGAKGTCTACATCCCTTTACACTCTGTATCTGACAAACACATGCTTAAATTACTGCATGAATATTTCACATAACTGTTGAATAAATTAGATTTTCTATAAACCACCTACCACTACATTTTGATTATTTGGTCTAAACCCTTTGAGCCATCAGAAATCCATCATGAATAAAAACCTGCAGGTTTCAGCCTTATAAAAAGTTTAAATGCCAAATAAAATAATACATTATTGATGTCCAAAAATGAAACCATTACACAGGATAATTTATTAATTAGAGATTATAGTTAATATTCACAGGGAGTCATCATAAAAGTTTTCACAATGTGCAAGAATTCCTTCTGGTACAGATCACTGTCTCAGAGAACTAGAAGTGTCTCTGGAATGAGACAGGTCGGTGTTTTAACACTCACCTAAATGTGTAAGAAGTGTCAAGACTGAATGTAGCTCACGGATTTAACATTTCATTTTACAAAGGCTTTAAAAAGCCTGGGTGTTTTCTTTTAACTGTATATGTGCAAAGAAGAACAAATTATCAAGTTTATTACAGATGTCTTGTGCTAAAATAGCATTTTTTATTACTAACAGACCTGAAACAAACAGAGAGGAAGCATAATGATTCTTTGATTATTATTATTATGAAAGAAGAATAACATTTTTTAATTAAATTCTTATAAAATAATACTGATGGTATCCGTTATAAACCTAAACCTGATCCTCAATCTTTCCTTCATTACCACCATCCTCACAACACTCTTTAATGTTTAGCTTTAGCATTTCAGCACTCTTAAARCAGCTGTGTAAATTTAGAATAGTGCATATCCATCTGCTAGATTATTGGCACACAGTTTGAGTGCAAATTATTCACATCGCACACTGATATTGCGGTAATGAATTTGATACACCACGAGGCCCAAAGGGAAAAAGATGAGGCCAATAATTGGACTTGATTATTATTTTTTTAATTACAATCTTCTTGTATCTGTTGAAATGACCAGGTTCAGAAAAAAAAGGTACATAATACAAATGGTTGTCAATTCATGATGTTCTCTCTCAATTACTAACTTTAAAGATTTATAAATAAATGTTGTAAAACTGAACAAATACTAATTAAATGGAGTTCCCTGAACAACTGATTTTGGATCACACCAAGCAAAAACACAAAATAATAAAAAACATTGTAGTGCTGCTGCATTAGGTTTGTGATGGGCAATTTAACAWAAGAGGTGATTCTACAAAAGAATAATGACACAAGTGATGAATTTCAGTATAAATTAGTCAACGTTATGTTAACATGATATGGTAGGGGGAGGTCGTGATACAATTAGAAATACTTTAGCTTGTTGTAAAATACAGTTTTAGCTAATTCTAATAAAATAGGGTGTGTTCCCTCTCAAACCTCTACCATTACTTACAGCTAAAGTTATTGACAGTCGACACGACTTTCAAGGCCTGTACCACTCAGGAGAAAGTAGCTACTTGTCATACTGGATGTGTAGGTACTTTCAGCCTGAACAGTCACTGAAAACGGCCTGAGACCACTGTCGACACCCACCAGCTCGCCTGAGACTGTGACACGTTGGGCTGACTGTAAATCACGCATTATTGATCTGACATCTTTGCTAATGCTAAGCTAGCACGATCATGTGTACCGCCATGACATGATTTATCAGTCATGCCGTCAAGACGAAATAATGCTTGCATAGATTTCAAAGTGCTTGCAGTGTTAATGTATTTAAAAATGTTAACACTACATAAAAGTATAAGCCGGGGTGACCGGTCATATGAGGCTAACTGGTTTCCGCCATTGTTTTTGAGCGTAAAGACGGGGGATGGGTGGAACTGCAACCACCGAGCTAAGCTAAGRTAGCACGCAAGCTAGCTTAAACGCGGTATGAAAAAATACGCTCATCCGCGGACATGTTAGCATGGCAAATACGAGGAAATGTCCAGATTATACGTTTTAACTCAACTGGATGCACTCTGACTTTGATGTTCGACATTAACACCGAGCTAAACCGACTCCGGGGAGGGGGGAGGGAGGGTGAATGCTTCATTTGGGCTCGCATGTCTCTCCCCCCCACAGCGGGCCTGGCATAAACCAGCGGAGGGCTTTTTTTTCCTGACATTTTTTTAAGCAATGCAGTCTCCCGGGTCAGAAAACCAGAGAATTGACAGTAAACCCCTCTACCGACACCACTGACCATCGGTGGGTTATCTGTGAAGGCCCTGGCAGCAGACGTCTCGATGGTGGAAATTAGAAACGACGTCACAAGGGGAGCCGAGCGACAGGCAAGGCTTGGCCATGGAGGCAGAAAAGGGTGAAACACCGTCTGTGTGCACAACTTTTACCTCCAAATCTCGACCCTTGTTCTTGAAATTCTTCAGCCGCTGGTTGTCCAGCTTCTCGTTGTCGGCCATGTTAGCAGTTCGGGCGGCGTTTTAGTTCAGCTGGCGAATTTAGCTGGCGAGCTAGCCCCGTTTTCTGGTTCCCTCTTCACGGCGTTTCGTTAGCGGACTATTTTCTGCTGCTCTGTCCGCGGTGCATACTGGGAATGCCGGTGGTGGAGGGAGGGCAGCCTGGCTGTGGCGTAGAGGAAGGGTGGGGAAACCCCCTTCACTCTCATTGGTTTCACTGCCAACGTCTGTGAACAGGGAACACCACCTTATATAAACTCACAGGTAATCCTTAAAAATTAACATATATGTACAAATGCGGATGAATTGTCTGTAAGTAAAACCTTCAATGAAACAACTTAAAGATGTCATAAAAATAGCGAAAAAATTACAATCAACTCTTCAAAAATAATCATTGCTTATTTGAAGCAATCCAATCTCTTATTCTTAGCCATTCTCAGGTGTTTTTAGTTGTGTGTTTTGGTTCAGGCCTTGCTAGTCCTGAGATTACATTCAGCACACCCTTTGCAATAAACTCTCTGCAGAACYTAAACAAAAATCCTCAGTATTTTTATTTTTAAGCTTTTCAAGGGGTACCATCCTTGTTTGTATCATCCTTGTCCAATTTTAGAGTTGATTTGCAGTCATTTCAAGTTCATCATGTTATTTCCTTGATCATTGTGAGTTTTTCTCTTCTTAACAAAAAGATACAAACATACTAATCAGCGGCTTTTCATAAAAACATGCCCATTTCCTAGGGGATAGAAATGAATGAATATAAAATATGTTTATTACTTGCTTAAAAATATTAAATACATTTCCATTAGGTAAAGTTATTAGACAGCATGGGATAATTATCTGTTGTTATGCTGATGATACTCAGTTTTATTTGTCCGTCCGTCCGTCTGATGATACTCAGTCTTATTTATCCATGAAACCTGATTATTCCAATCACTTACTTAGATTACAAGTTAGTCTTAAAAACATAAAATGTGTAAATTGACCAGGACATGTCTTTTTTTCCACCTGTGTAATATTAGTAAAATTAGAAACATGATGTCTCAAAATGATGCATAAAAACTGGTCCATGCTTTTATCACTTCTAGACTGTTAGACTAGAACAAAAGTCAGAATTGAAATATTTGTTTCTTTATTTAAAAAATAAAATTTAAACAATTAGAAATACATGTTGAGCAACAGACATATATAAAAGAATATAAATACAATCTTTAAAATAGTGTCACTACATTTTAGTGAACTCTTCAACATGGAAGATGCTCATGACAGCTTGTAAATGCTTATGTAAAATTACCTTGATAATCCAAGATTATATTTTATTTTTATACAAAATCTTTGCAGCATTTCCTTGTTTTTTATCCTCCACATTTACCACTCAGCTGCGCCAAACAGGTTAATTCTAATTTCTGTGTTTGTATCAACTTGTGACCTCACTATTACCTTACTATTAACCGATACTCACTATTGTCACAATCTTTGTTTTTGAGATTATTTGGTGACATTTTTTGCACTTTGTTTTCAGTTCTTTTGTTCCTCAGTGCCACCAGCCCACCACTCCTTTAGTCCTTTTCTAGTTAGCCTGCCTGCCACACCCATCTCCACCTAAACACAGCTGCAGCCACTTCTCCTCATCAACCATAGCCTATTTAGTTTGTCTTCACTCAACTTTCAGTAGCGCATTTTTGGTTTCTGTGCCACGTTCTGGTTCTCTTTGTGCGTCCCTGTGCCTGTAAGGTATTTTATTTTACAGCCCTTTTGCTTTTTTTTTGTTTTGTTTTTTTTMAAATGCTTTGAACTTCCTCATGTCAGTTTGCAGTCTTGGTTTTGAAACCTTCTATAACATAACACACATGGCTCTGTTAGACCATATGCAGACAAGGAAATCAAGTAAGAACCCACACGCACACACAGAGGAGGAGGACAACATTAAAACAAATTCCCCATCAGCTTCCACAGAGCAAGGCTCGCTTCACTGCGGTCAAACTGAAGCTCTTAGGTCTCATCTTCACTTTAATGTCCTCTTGGGTCTGTCGGAGTGGAGTTTTCATCAGATAAATCATTCTCCTGAAACCATCTTCCAGTCCCATCCCAGTAGTGCCGGAGCAGGGCTGGATAAACCACGCCCTGCCGTCGCATGCTCCCTTTAAGTCCAGTTTCAGGCAGAGTGTTTCTGGGCTCAGAGCACCTGGCAGGTCCTGTTTGTTGGCCAGGACCACAAGAGGAACTCCTCTGATACTGTTGTATCTCAGGATCTGAGGAATGGAAGAAACAACACTGTAAAACCCATAAGTTACTGCTCTGTATTGATTTCCTGTAGCTATAGCATGAACAGCAAATTCATCCTTGATAAAATAAACAAAACAATAATTTAAGATAAAATAAATTGTTTAATGCATCCATATTATCTCCTCATTGTCTTCTTCCTGACAGCTGCCTTTCTAAATTCTTCCACTGCTGGTAAAGGTCAAGTTTATTTGATGGGAAATCAAAAATTCAAAGTTTATCGTCTGTCTTACCCGGTGAAGTTCTTGGCGAGCCTCGCCCAGCCTCTTCTCATCCCCACTGTCCACCACAAACATCAGTCCAGCCGTGTRATCAACGTGATGCTTCCAGTGGGGRCTCATCTTCRTCTGACCCCCAACYTCCCACACCGTCAGTCCGGGGCCGCTCCCGCTCGTCTCCAGAGACTCCGCGTTGAAGCCCACCGTTGGGACGGTAATCACGCTCTCGTTGTATTTCAGCTTGTACAGCAGGGTGGTCTTTCCTGAGCRGTCCAGGCCCAGCATGAGGACCTGCTCCTCTTTCTGAGGTACGGACCTGTGCATCCCCATGTCTGGAAGTGTGCAGASCTGAATGTCTGCACTCAGAGATGGGCTGTGTAAACTGTACTGTCCGTGAACTAAGTGTGTTTTGTCTTTTATGTGGACTGAGTGATCACTGCCCTCTCATCGCTGCTTTGCTTTCAGTAAAGCTATTTATATCCAGAATGACGATGCAACTAAGGATGGGGTGGTGCGCAGCTCTCTCTGGTTAGCAGAGTCACTGGAGTCACATCACACCTGTCTCCACTCATCAAACACACCAYCAGCCAGGAAGAAACCAGAGGATTATGAATCTTCCTGGCTGGACYTCCACAGCGGTGACATCAGTTATATTTTGGCTGCACTGATGGATTCGTGTAGCTTTAGCCTTACACTGGCATGTTTGAATGCAACAGAGCCAAAATAGACTGATGTATTCTGCWTGTTTTACTCATTTCCCTAACAAGAAGAAATAGCCTCTATTGATCCACCGAGGGGAAATTCAGGATYAACTAAACTGCCTCTTCAAGTTCTGCAGAAACCTGTTAATCACCCATTCATTTACATCAGGTGTGTGGGAGGGATAATGGGAAATAATGTTGAACTCCTTACAACACATACACTAAATATTTAGTGTGTATGTTCACGTTAAATATTTGTGACCCTTGCGTGCAAAACAAATCAGAATAAGCTCAGGTTGCTTAGAGAAGAAAATTAAAAAAGCATATTGATTTTGGGGCAAAAAAAAAGGAAAGTTTATGATATTTTCTGTAGTTCGTAGATGGGAAATAAAGACAAAAGCATCATATTTAAATGGCTGTTATTATTTTATTGCGCTCCAAAGAATGTAATGTACAACATTGGATTAAATGTGTTACAACTGAGCTGATTTCCTTAAAAAATGTAAATACTGAAAATCATTTTGACCGTTTTGTTTTGATTTACATTTTTTATTTTGTATTTACTTCTTCTTTATACAGTTTATTAAAGTCAACAAAAAGCAAGTACAAATGCAGCAAACATTCTGTACATACACACACACACACACAAAAACATGGATTAGAGAAAAAAAAGGTTTTAAACGGTATACATTTCTGTAGTATTCATTGTGTTTAATACCAACATGAAGACAGTATGTACATTCAATTTACATTTTTCATGTCTCTCTGAGACATTCCTTGAACGTTTGAACTAACAAGATTTGACACTGAGGGAAGCGCTGCAAGCGTCGTGATCGACTGCATTTTATCAAAAACAACGTATTGGCAGCAGAAAAAAATAAGGCAACAGATCATTTAAAAATGGTTGTAATTTCAGTTAAAAAAAGCTTTTTTGTCTTTGTGAAGGTGACTTTGTATCAAAAKAACAAATTGTCAATTTAGGGATGTTTATCAGGTAATTTGTAAAAACAAAGTCAGACAAACAGCATCTTTAACTAAGTAATACACTTCCCAGATGACRGCAAATTCAACATAAACTAAAAAGAATTTTGCATCATCAAATACTATTTATCCCATTTAAAAAGCAACGTGTTCTTTAAATTGGTCTTAATAAAGCTGATYAATGAGACATACAAAATCATCACTTCATTATGGTATGAAAAGTTAAATGTTCTGACAAACTACACATATCCAACAGCTTTTACATTATATATCAATATTAGTTACACAGATTTTGATGAGTTCGGTCTGAGCAGAAAAACACAGCAAGTCGATCCCTCAGAGTAAAAACCATCAGCAATCCTTTTAAAAAGAAGAAAATATGTCCTACTTTCCTCCATGTGCAGCGAATGTGGGGTAAAAATATAATCAGTTCTGTTTCTGTACAATATGAGGCATAGTATGTGAAACATCCTTTCATTTGTCTGTGTTTAGGGATAAACATGTTAAAACAAAGATTAACACAATGTGTTTTTAATTACTTCATCAATACGGCTTGATTCGCTGGACACAGGTTATAAAAACAATAAAAACTTGACTGGTTATAAAGACAATGAATGAAATACATCATATTTAAAATAAAATAAATGAAATATCACTTTCTTTTAATCTGTTGTGGAAACACCAGATTTGCCTGTTGAAGTTTAAATAGACTAGTCATTATTTCAGCTTATATTTCCTCTCTTAAATACACACTCACACACAGGTGTGTGCAGATTCACCAACAGCTGTACAAAAATCTGCTTAATTGCATAACCTCACATTACAGTGTCTGAAAGGGATGTTTCGAGCCTAAAAGTCCTTTGTTTTGAGATAAAAAGCAGGTTATGGGAAGTGTTAGGACATATCTGTGACAGAAATAGTTTATTTGTACCCCGGTTAAGCCTATAATATATTTTTTATTATCACTACTTCATTTCAGAAATGTATATATTYTGTGTGAGAGATCACTTCTTTTCATTGTTCTTGCCTTTAAACTTGACCACCATGACTGTGATGTTATCGGGGCAACCGCGGTAGAAGGACTGGAGGACGATGCTCTTGGCGCCGAAGTGTGGCTCGTCCAGCCGTTCCCTGATGAAGCGGACCGCCTCCTCGTTGCTGAAGGTGTCCCACAAACCGTCCGATGCCAGGATCATGAACTCGGGCTGCAGCTTGTTCAGGTCGAAGGACACGATGTCGGGATCAGGAATGATCACGTTCAGGTTCTTCAGAGGGTAATCCCCCAGAGAACGGGACATGGCCAGGATGCCCTGGACTCGCCACGAGCCGTTGAAACTGATGAAACCACCTGAAAAGAGACAGAAGCGTGACAAGGGAARGAGGAGGTACAAATTAAATTAATTCAAATTCAAATTGAATTAAATTGAATTTGTATAGCGCTTTATCAAATTCCTATGGACTCCAAGGGCTTCACACTTCAGTCATTCACCCATTCATACACACTCATGGTGGTGGTAAGCTACACTGTACACAACCTTTATAAATTGCTGCTTGTATGCTTTCGACATTGTTTATGTACATGTTGTGTTTGTTTGTTGGAAATGCCTGGTTGCAAAACAAATTTCTCTCTTCGGGTGGACAATAAAGGTACTGAACTGAACTATAGCCACAGCTGCCTCATCTGTAGTCATCAGGGCCCAGTAGGTACACTGTACTTGCACTGTAGGTACCCCATACCTACCTACCTACCTTGTAAATACCCTATTTATTCTCATGTAATTACCCTGTACATACCTTGTAAGTGCCCAGTATGTATGTGGTAAGTACCTGGTACATACACGGGTAAGTTCCTGGTAGTTATTTGGTCAGTACCAGGCTTTATTGTGCATTACTGCTGTYATACTTTCACTAAATCAGCGCTCACTGCTCAGCTCATAGACATGTTTCAGCTCATGTCATATCCTGGGCTCCTTCTACAGTTTCAACAGATTTCCGAACAGGAAATCCCACTGGAAATGACTGGATCAGACGCAGAGTTCCAGACTTGCTCAGAACATCTGATTCGCAGTGGGGAGTGACATTACTGCGATTTTAAAAACACTGGAGTTGAAAGTTCAAACCAGGATGTAAATACTGGCGTCATCAGCAGAAAATCCACTCATGCACAACTTTCAACTAGAAAATTAGTTCCGCAAAAGGAGCCACATCAATTATTGTCAACGATTTTTAGATTGTATTTACTAGTTCCAATAAGTCATGTTTAATTTATTTCAGAAATAATGGGTTTTGTATTTAAAGGAAATTAAAATGCAGAATAATCAGCCAAATATCAAAACAGATGGAAAAACATCCTCACATTTTGTAACAATTTTGTGCATCTGTAATGTACAATACATTAAAAAAGGCACAAGTGTGAAATCTATAATTAGGATTTATACGAATAAAGTTAAAATACTAAAGTAAATGATTAATATAATAAAAATGGAGGAAGAACATTGGCTAAAAAGGGGTTTTAATGTATCAAATACAAACTAAAGACCTAATATGGTCAGAGCCTTGTGAAAAWTTTTCATCACAATTACTGTGTAAATACTTTTTGATGAATTAATTTTAACATTTACTGTATGTAGTAAGCTGTTCTAATTTGAAGTATTGCCCCACTATAAACACGTTTTTTTCTTCTAGTACCAAACCGAACCATTAGATGGAGATGTTGGGCTTTCTGTATGAATAATCTGATAATCTCCACTGAAACTGTCCTCAGCACAGTAAGTATGCAGACAGAGCTGGAGCTTACAAACACTTTAAATAATGGGCACTGCCTGGCTGCATCTGATAACACACTGCCTTAGAAGCAAATTGTTATCAGTTAGTAGGTTTGAGCCAAAGACAAGATGAACCAATAAAGTAAAAGTAATAGTCCCTTCATTTGATCACAGGGGAACTTATATTTTCTTGGCAATCCAGACTCTAATACTCTTTATTCTGTTGTTTAGAGGTGGATGAGAGGAAGTGTACAGATCAGGACTGCAGCGGTTTTCTCACCAGCCTTCTTGATCCTCTTGCGCTCTTTGAGCTGGTAAGGTTTGTGGTCATGGGAGAGCGGGATGGCGTTGCCGTCTTTATCACACAGCACTCCGCGAGAGTCTCCGACATTGGCCACCGTCAGCTCCTTATCAGACAGCAGAGCCACCAGACATGTGGTGCCTGAAGCAGAGAGAGGGGAGGGTGCTGAGAATCACCTGGATTTTATATCTGAACTAGAGAGTTATCTCATAATTACATATGCTGAAAATGTCAGAGAGGTAAGGTCTTAAGAATTTGTCCCCAGAGGGACATAAACGTCCGCAAAAATTTCAAGGCTGTCCATCTGAGCGCTGAAGTGAATGACTGGAACTTAATACTGAGTAGGATGAAAWTATTTCACTATAAATCAGTTTATCAAGCTATAAAACACAAAATCATACCAAAGCCAAAGTGACAGAAATAGATGTGTAAAATTTAAGAAATCGAGACAGAAAAATTAAGACCCAGATTCAAAGAACACAGATTTWGCAGTTTCTAATCACAAGCAAAATATATCGTTGCTCCATCTAATTCACAAAGGGAGACATGCTCCTCAAAGTATGCTGCCAATGAYTGTTAGAAATTGCTGCATCTCCAAGTAAATAGTCTAAAACAAGTAGAAATAGATCAAATAGATCACAGCCATGTCCGTGCAAACTTAAGAGATTATCAAGTAGGAAAATGAAAATGCKGTAACAGTTCTTATAAACATCTCGTTGTAGTTCAGAATTTATGGATTTTTGGTGAGAATATTTATTTTTCTTTATATATTTCCAAATGTARTAGTTCTTTTAGGAATTGCTAAATATAAATGTAGAGTTTCACATCAAGCGGTTAATAAAGACAATTTATAGTAACCCTGTAAACACAACGTGTCTTTTTTGCTAAAATGTGTTAGTAGTTGTAACTGAAGGCGCTCAGGTGATTAGACAGGTGAGAGCCCCTCTCTGCAGGGAGAAGTGGGGCAGGAAGAGCCCRTTTGGTCTGAGACAGAATCAAAGGATGCATTTCGTTTTATTTCCTGTGAAAATGAGGATGAAATATTGCTCAAAACATATTAAACATGATCCCTCCCTGATAAAKTCAAATGTTAATGTGGTTTTAAACAGACCTTCTGTACTTCATTTGTTAAAACTTGGAGCCCACTGTGAGAAAATATATTTTCCTTTTTGTCACTTTTTGTGCCTGCTGCGTTTGTGGCCAAAGGTCATATTTAGATTGTGCAGCGAAGACAACTGTGCTCAGACGCAAAAAGAGTGCAAATTACTCACATCTGCTGAACTGGAGGAGCGTGTTGTTATTGGCATTTCATTACAGCCATTTGCTTTGAGAATACAACAAAAAGAAAAAGCAAATAACGCTTAAAAGTTGAAGCTAAAATGGGTGTATTTTCTGTGAARCAGGCCTAGAGAGCCTTAAGCTTTGGTCCAGTAAGAGGAGACAAAAACTTTTCCAGTTAACTTRTCTTTGTTGCTCCACTCTCCTAAAATGTCCTCACTTCTTCTTTGCTTTGTTTAGCTTCCCAGCCAGGCAGAACTGAGTGTAGACTAGGAATCTGAAGCCTTTTGTGTGAGATCCAAAATCCTGTACAGAAAGAGCAGATCTGGCTGTTTGGTGACAACGTGTTCACAAAGTAAAGACAAAATCAAATAGTGGCAGAAAGACTAAACAAGAAGAAAATAAAACTGCTTCCAACACCTTGGGATGGACCATTAGTGTTAAAAAACACAAAGAGGCAAAAAATAATAAAGGATGAGGATAACCTACTAACATTTCAGAGTTTGTTTAAGGTTGACAGTTTGATGCAAAGTTGACTGATTGCTGTTTACCTCTAGCCTTTTGCATTTAGAAGAAGGAAATTTATCTCCTCTGTTAAAGGTCCCAACAGGGTTTAYGCAAGAAGATGGGAAAACAGGCTGCAGACGATACAGACACGATCAAAAGTGAGAGTACAGGAGGAAGTTTGGGTGCCGGGAAGACATTTCTAAAAGTACTAAAACTATTATCATCACAGTGTTAAGCTAAGCTAAGCTATGGCAAACAACGCTAGCTGACAGCAAAGAAAGGAAATGCTGCTTTCAGGTCATTATAGATGACGTGCTGAGTATTTGTAAAAGTCTATTTCCTTTAGTTTCATCATTGCATTCATCGTTAATCCCGCTGTTCGTCCTTAAAGCTGCGGCGGCCTCGGTGCCTTGCTGTCCAGCTAATTATCCTTATCTAGTTCCCATGGTGATGGAGATAATGAACTAAGGTGCTTTGTGAGCACGCCCTTCTCCAATTAGCCCATTCAAGCCAAGCGTACACTCAGCATTCCCTCATTAAAGTGGCACCACACGCACCCCGTGCTGATGCCAATAATTGGCTTAGCCCGGTCAGGAAAACCTTCAGCACTTTGATAAGATTAACGTTCAGCTTCCACAGTTTTTTTTTTTTTTGTTCCTCCACTCTAATTTGTATTATTGTGCTAATTTACTCKGAGCTGGTTTCTGCTGACAGGCCGTCTGAGCTCCTGGTACATCTCAATTTACGTTTGTAAGCAAGCCTTGTGACAAACGTGAGACTGTGACTAATACAACCCCGGCTCACAATCAAAGCTTTTCTAAAAATAAAGAAAGCAGGGTTTATTATTATTATTATTATTATTATTATTATTATTTCCAGCATTATTCTACTGTCATGTTTCTCCTCGTGATGACTGCCATTCCTGGACTTCCCTATTAATGTGTGTATTTTTTACCAAGTCATTTTGAACTACCTTATAAAGRCTGTGAAATAGTTTTAGTCTGAAGTGTCACCTGAGAAAATCTCGGCCAGGAATCCGTTTTAAAAACAAAGAGTTTTAAAAGATGTTTTCCGTTTCATTTTTCTTCACTTGGTTGAATATGCTCAGAATGCAGCACATCCACCAAAGGTCGGTGCATTAAAGTAACTTATTTTCGARGCGCACTCCAAGATTTATTGTCTTTACACAGCTCCAGAAGCAGAAAAGCTCTCATAGGCTTTATGACACTGCACGTCTAATAAWTTTTTTTATAATACAAGATTTACGACTCTGGTAGCAGTTCCAAGACCCAAAAGTTCATAGAATTACCTTTAATGTCATCAGTCTTTACTTCTCACTAAACCTGCTGTTTAAAGAGCGGCAAAAAGTTGTTTTTTTCCCCCTCAAGTCCTTAAAAGGCCGTGCATTTGAAGTAGCTTTTTAAACTTTATTTTTAAAATGGAGTAAAAATTTATAGAAATGAGTTTAAAAATTATTGATTTAAACACTTTTCATGGTTATGGTTTATGCAGGTTACTGGGAAGAAATTCAGATGTAGAAATTTTAAAATCTTTTGAAAATTCTCCTCAATCAAAACTTAAAAGTGAGCTGATAATGACTTTAGATATTATCGTTATGTTGCAGACCAACCGTTAGACCGAGTCACMCAGGAGTTTCTTTCACTGCTTCAGTCGTCCTTTGACCTGGAAATCAGACCTCCTATTGTCACAAAGCCCCCAGATCTCTTGGTGCGTTCCAATAACACTGGCAAGAGGAAATTTCCTTGTTCTCGTTCATAAATTTAAACTGGAACGCCCCTTCCAGTGGTAAATCCCATTCGTATAGTGGGAGCGACTGCGACTAACCCAGTTTCGATTTCAAGATGGCCGCCACTCACAGTTTTAGAAAGTTAACTCCATAACTTTTACTGTTATCATTCTTAATGTTTTTGTGCACGTTTAATCACTCGTACAAGTGGTGCACTTTTTTTGCATACTGTACTTAGTAAAATTAATGTTTATTTGCATGACGTACATAATAGAGCTCTCTTTTTATCATTGTTTATATTGTAAGTGTTGTAACTAAGTTAGCGACAGCAAAACGATCGCCTGTCGGCTACCTGGAATAAGGTTTCATATAGTTCGTTGGGAAATTACGTCACTACTACTTCCCAGTTCCAGAATACGATGTAAATGGAACCCACTATGTCACCACAGCAAGGAACAAGGTGAGAGGTTGTTTCTGGTGAAGGCATCAAAAGTAGCTGCTGCTTCAGAAAATAAACCAGAGAGGATCTCTAATTTTAACTCTGAAAAACAGGATTTTCACAATTTCCTACTATTTAACATCATCCAAGGCAGTAATTAAAGGAATATATACTTTGGCTGCTGATATAAACTTTTAATTTTAACATTTAGTGAGTTCAACATCAGGATAATACTATGGGTTTTAATGAGGCCATCATGATTAAGCCTGAAATACTTCAAAATGCAGCAAGAATGAACATTATACAGTTTGTAAATATTTCTATGCATACAGTAATTTGCTATTGCCTTAATTCTAATATAAGCAATTATTTTCTGCATCTGAATATTTGTAAAATGTGACACCCGTAATTAATCTCATCTCACTGCTCGTTTTAGCCTTTATACTGTGTGTAACAGAGATTTCCATCCTCACAGAATAGATTCAGTTTCTGGTCACAGCTTCAAAGTCCCATCTCTGGTTCAAACTCTTCTGTTTGTTTGCTGATAAATGAACGAACAGAGGGATAAATCTATGTTGTTGTGTTGAGGGTGTTTCTCTGTTTACTGCCTCGCTCTTCACTCCTCGCCAGCTCAATTTAAGCCTCGATTACTGCAACAATCTAGCTCTGCACTCTAAACCACGCGACTGTTGAATTACATTGTCGGACAACTTTTACTTGATCAGCAGATTCCACAGAGACCGGCTGGCAAGAAAGGCTAGGACAAATGCTGCATCAGATTCAATCTGCAAGTGTCTAACACTAAAACTAGATGACATGGGAGGGTTTTGACTGAAAGGGTACCTGACTTGMTCAATAAGCTGTGTGAGTCATTCTTATTTGACTGTGAAAAGAAGCGTGGAGGGAAAAGAAAATGGAAGAATYTAAATTATCTTTACAGCCTGTCTGCAATAATTTTAGGAGAAGGCTGAGCGCTCAGAAGGAGAGCTTTACTTGGTGGTTGTTTTTGTGTAAAACCCTGGCCAGAAAGCTGATGCTTATCTCCAGCTGGGGAGGGAGGAAATGAGAGAAGGATAAAGTTAAAAAGATGATGAAAAGATACAGAGCACCAGAAGGTACAACAGCGACAGCAGCAGCAGGATAAACTGTCCCCTCTGAACTGGTTGCTTCAAACCTGCATATTTTAAATTCTTTAATCAAGTATCYGATGACGACTCATTCTCATGAGGATGTGATGAGACACTTCACCAACATGTATGCACAGTTTTCTGGGCTACATGTGTTATTTCTCTGTGTTATGTTATTTCCGTTATTTAGAACAGCTCTGACAGGAACAACGATGTTCTCAAAGAAAAGTTGAATTTTTGAGCTTTGAGCTTAAAGTTCCACAWAATCAGTATGAAACCTCTCTCCTCCATCTCAATCAGCTCGTTCACAACAACCATCAGTCCAAGACTTAGACGCCTGCTGGTCGCCTCCGTGCAACTTTTAAATGGACCGAGGCAGCGAGTGAGGTCGAAGCCAACCCCCGGTGCAGCTTTAGTACCACCTCGCTTCSCAGTACAGAGTCCAAATGGTTGACAGGTGAAACTGAACGCTGGTAACATGATGAAGTGATGACATCTGGTCTGTACGACCAGCTGGTCACGGGAATAAACAAACAGATTTATTACTGAGGGAAGACTGATGATGATGATGATGCACAGCAGCTTTGCACACATCTATGTGTTAGTATTTGATCATGATTTCGTCAGAGGATTCTCATCTCCTTTCAACATCACAACTTTTGAATTATATTGTTTTTTCCTTCATTGCACTCTCTTTCTTAGCACAATGTTCATATTCCACACAAATATCCCTTCAGCTGACCTGCTCCCTAACACTTTCCATCCATCACCGTCTCCCTCAGTTTCCCTCTCTCCTGCATCCCTTCCCAGATAATTACTACAAGCCCACTGAAGATCAACTTGTATTTAAACAGCTGAATAAGCAGGYCCCTGGGCTGCTGACAGTCATTGTTCAATAACAGTCAAGCAGAGCATACTGGCCTGCATGCACCATTATGAGGGACCTTTAAAATATGCTTTCTTATTCTATCTGGTCTAATAAGCAAAGTGTGACGCTAAAATCCATCTTAATAATCTTAAATTTTATTGTTATATTCAGGCTGACATGCAGCACAGAGACATTTAAATCAATGCCAATGAAAGGACCAACCAAGCAGCAAAACTAAACCACAAAAAAATAAAAAAAAAATCACACAAACATCTTGTATAAAGCTAAACAAATGTGATGACCGAGACAAATGTGGCACTAAATGATTACACACCTGCTTCATTGTAAGTGGCAGAGAGCTTGTCCAGCATTTCTTTGTCTAAAGTCAGTATCTGCTGCTCCAGGATGGAGGGATAGGAGAGGCTGACCCTCTCCTTCTTTTCGTCTTTCTCCTTGTCTTTTTCTCTGTTCCGTTCTCTCTCTCGTTCATAGGTCAGTAGCTGTTGGCGCAGAGCCTCTGGCAGGTGGGCCTTCGCAAACTCAGCAGCAGCCTGATAACGAAGCGCAAAGGGAGAGAGAAGAAAAATTAAAGGCGGCTGCAGAGATTTTTCCAATTTATATGCAATCAAACAAAACAGCTTTTCAATGAAATAAACAGATTCAAGAGCAAATGCATATTTGCATTTTAAATAAAAGTTCCAATCAAAATGTTGACCTAAAATCTTAACTGCCGTATTTTTATGCTAATCCAAAGATTTTAGTTGAAAGATTTTTTTTTATTTATTTATTTTTTTTGCAAAACTTGAAATGTCTTTTGCTCCAAGCTTTAGTTGGATTTTTTTGTTTTGTTTGAATACAACTAAGGTTGGTCACAACATTAAGTCATATTCATCATGAAAAACAATTATTTTCAACATGGTTAAGAGTGAAAACAAACTTTGGATTCATCACCAAGAAACTATAGTTGTACATTTTCTGATTATTTTTACACACATTTACTATAATAAAAAACTAAAATTCTTACTAGGCATGCTGTTTAATGGCAGCACCATTTATTTAAATTCTTCTGAGTTAGATAGGTGCTTAACCACAATATTATGAAATAAAACAAAAAAAAAGTTTTTCAACTAAATTTTCTTCCATGAAACATGTTCCAAATTCTACAATAACTAAAGTTTTGTTTGACTTGAGTGTCGTGATAAAAGAAAAGGTTGAGAGGAACATTTAACCTTTTTCTGAACTAAGAAATTTTGAACCTGAATCATATCAAACACTGTGGCTTCTCGGGCTCCACTGATCTGAAAGTTTTGTACATTCACGACAAAACTCTGGTCCATAAACCCAGATTGAGCTCTTCTTGTGCCCGGTCTCAGATAAATCTGAGCTTTAATGGGAAACCACAAACATCCCCAGCTCTAAGAGAGGAATGTGAAAACACTTCCCTGGTGAGAAACTTTGCACAGGAGCCAGTCGGGCCAGGCAAGGTCAAATGAACACAATTTATTTTTTGTTTTTACTTGTTTAGTTATTATGAAAGCTGGAGGTTAAGAAACATTTACCTTCCAAATAACCAAACACTATAAGCAAGAAAGTATATATCCTGTATTTAACTGATAGTTTACAGGTTTACATACCAACTAATGAAACAAACTAAAATGCACGTACACTCACATTGTTGGTCTGTACCCAACACTGAGCTAGAATCAACCTTAATGTCCGTTCTGCCTCGCTGAAAAAGATAAACACAGATAAAAAGAAGATAACAAAAAAAAAAGCATCGTCTGTTAAATCCACAGCAGCTCATGCTGTGGGATACAGCTGAGCTAGAGAAACTGTATCTTCACCTCCTCACATCTTCCTCCAAGGATAACACCAAATAAACCTTTTTTCTCACACATTTGCTCTGCAGGTTCAGAGCAAATAATGCCCGTCTTCCCAGGGCGAGGGACACGAGGTCGCTGAGTACAAATGTCACGTAATATACCGCTGACAGGCCACTGATCTGCATCATCCAAGATTCATAAAGCTCATATTTCATACAAGGGTTTCACTTCAAGAATGCAAAAGAGCAGTAGAAAACAAAAAAATAAKAAGGAAAAAGGAAYGGTTTGTAGTTTTTTAGCATTGCCTGTAATGATTTAAGGTCATTAGACAGAAATCTGCAGACAAACAGAATGCCTTCAGCGCTCTGTCCCTATTTAGCTCTCTCTCTCCAATCTATACCTCCCTCTCTGCCATCTGTGCCTGGAAATTGCTTTGAAAAGGACTCAAATAACTCTGCCTACTTTGCTGTTTCTCTCCAAATGCAAACAATTCATCTAGTCCTCTTGTTGTATTTTGTCAGCACTGCTGAGGCTTTCCTTTGTACACTTGGTCAATTTCCTACACCTTCTCCCGTTTTTCATTTCCTACAGTTCACTCAAGTCTGCTTCCATGGCAATCATCAGCCTGAGATCACTACAGATCTTTCCTGCATCCCCTTCTGACTAGACTTTCTTTGGTCTGGGAACAATCAGCATTGACATACTTTCATCCTTCAGTTACCATGTGGGAGCAGAAGTCAACAAACTGGGTTCAAAGTTCATGAGTAGGAAGTCTTTTGTCTCATTAGGCAATATCATCTCAGTTACCACTGCATTTCCCTCCCAGTCCTCAAAGTATTGAGGTCACAACTTTTTCTAGTTACATTTCTTTTTTTTAACTATTTTACTGCACATAACCACTTAAGATGGAGATGTATCTGACCGTCTCACTGGCTAATCAGACCGGCACATTTAACACCAGATGAAAGGAGAAATGGTGCATGAGAGGGGTATTGTAAGACAGGACGAAGACAAAGACTGAAACGGAGAGATGAGGACATGAAAAAGTACAAGAGAACAAAATGAAGTGTAAGATTAGTGYACGGCTTAAGAGCACAATGAAGGAGTGTAAAAGAAACTCACAATGAGCCAGAGTAAAACAGGGTGAACGGGATAAGCTGATCTTGGGAGAGCTATTCAAAGAAAAAGACAACTACATCAGCACAAAAATGTTGAAATCTGCCYACACTGAAATGGCAAAGTAGTGAAAATGGTCTCAAATTTCRTTAACTGGTTGAAGTCAAATGTTCACGGGTTTAGAGTCAAGGGAGGAAAGAAGAATGAGTTCCCARGTCCCACATGCTATTCTTAGTTAACCAAAGACGAGCTTAATCTGAAAATAGAATAAAAATAAATGGTTTGGAATTTGTGTGGGCTGCACGGTGTCACAGAAGGTTACACTGTTGCCTTATAGCAAAAAGGTTGCAAGCTCAAATCCCAGCTGGGACCTCTAAATGTGGAGTTTACGTTTGTGGATTTCTTCTCCAGGTGCTTTGGTTTCCTCCCAAAGTCCAAAAACATGCATCACAGGTGAACTGGAGATTCTGAACTGTCAGTACCTTCTACGACMTGGAGCACTGTGGATACACATGTAGGATCCATGTTGGTACTCTCTGTCTATTAGCAAGATATCTCATGAATCTGTAGACAGAATGTCCTGACACTTTCCAGAATAATCATTAGATGTGCATCTACAACTCATTACCTTTTAGATTCAACTTGAATCAAGATGGCTGACACAGATAACTACCTTGGCAGACCTAAAAAGGGATAGAACTRAATCATTTTCACAGATATCGAGTTAAAATTTGGTGTGATAGTAGCTGAGAGTCTAACAGATCAAGCAAACTGTTTAAAGCTTTGGCATCACTTGCGTTCCTTCAGGGAACCCTACTTTTTAAAGTTCTCTCTTTTTTGGTTGCTGTTGTTTTTAAAAGCAATTAGAAAATAAAAAGAGCTATTGTCCATTCTTGCACATGTATGGTTCCGGCAGAAAGAATTACACTTACAGACCAATTAAGCAATTTAGATACAAGATTAAGGGGTTGAAGCCAAATAATTAACTAATCCAATATTAATTTTAGGTGTGTGTGAAGATTTATTTGATTAAGACATGCGATGCACTGTATTCTCTCGTAGAAGTAGAAAGCAATCAAACAGAACCACTTTAGAAAGAACAGTTTGTTCAGGKGCAGAAGAGACTTAAAGTGTCTGAGAGGACAAATTAAAAAGCATAATCCTGTCTGGATGACGGTTTAAGTGTTGTCTTATGTAAGCTTTGTGTCTGCTTCTTAATTCTGACAGATTTTCACAGATTTTTTTCTAAACCTTCTGATTCAATAACTGTGCTTAATTTCTCAGTTCCGTCACAGAAGACTTGCTTCAGACAGAAATGACGCCTGGCAGTGCAGAGCATCACATTGGACTCACCTTCACCCACACACACACACACGTGTCTCAATGAGGCTACATTAACTTTTTGCATTATCTACCCCGTTACCCTCACAGTTTAGAGTACAGAGAACCACAGACAACCAGATTAACTCAGGTCTTCTGAACCACCCATCATATCACAAAGCAGGCAGAACTGGAGAAAATCATTTTTCTTTTTAGAATCACTGTGAAGAAAATTTGGCCAAAGTAGAAAAATATCTTTCTGCCCCTGACTCTGCTCTAGGGATAAGACTAGCTGCTGGAGACAATTGTCTGACAGATCAAGCAGACAGATGAAATGGCAAAAAAAAAAGGAGATGAGCGATTCAAGACAGGGAGGGACGTAAAACCCCTTCATAAGCATCTATCAAATAAATTCTTTAAACAAGAGAGAGCTCAGGTTGAGATACATTACAGAAACAAAGCAGCAGCATACAAAGAAAGCAGTTGATACTAATGAGTCTAAATTTCTTAACGAGAAAAAAAAACAAGAAAGGAAAGACAAACCTGAGTGGTATAGCTCAAAAACATGCTTCCTGTGAGRCTGGAGACAGATGGGAGGCTGTGTTTGTGTGGCCTTGAAAACGCCGGATTTTACCAAAAACCGCTTCACTCTTCCAGCTATAAAACTAAAACTCCCCCAAAAACCCCAAACAAACAAACTTTCAGAGCACAGATGGTCCTTGGGAGCGAGAGACAGAGGGCTGGYGGTATGGAAGCAATGACACGGGAACCTCAAATCTTCTTTAGTGACCAACGAAGGAAAACACACAAATGCGCAGAAATACACCACTTAGAGCTACATTCACATTCAAACAACCGTCATGTCTCAAAAAGCAAAAAGCAGAGAGGACAGAAATTGCATCTATCAAAAAAAATGAGGATTTCAGAGGGAAGAGGCAAAGCTATGAAAATGAACGAGGCCTGGAAAGTTGAACAGAAATCCATTAAAAGTTGCACGAACCGCTTCAGCGCCTTCGGCATCCGAAGAGGAAGAAAGAACTACAGGAGGCCCTCCATCCTGGTCAAARAGATGACAACCAAATTCATCTCACTGATTGTGGCAAATCAAGAAGAGCAAGATGGGTACGGTTAGAACATCTGGTAACCACYGCTCCAGCTGCCGAAAGGTACTGGGAGGCTAGACATCTGTCCCACCTCAACAGACGTCTCATTAAAAGTCCCCTCAAACTTGCAGAGGCAGTACACAAAAAAACTAAATCAGAGGACTGCAGGCCGCAGGCTGTTGGCTCGTT